CGATCAGGCTGATATATTGATTAAGAAGAAGAGTGGCAGATAATCTGCCGGGAGATATGGAGACTCATTATACCACGGTTATTTAGCGTTACTTGGTGAGGGAAACAGTATAGTCACAATCTAATAACACGGACAAAAGACCTTCTCCCACAGCCGCACTGGCCATTAAAAACAAGTTGGTGCACGGCAATGAGGGTGACGTAGTGGTAACTAGGTAACAGGACGGGGTGGCGGCGAGACGTGGTGCGCTGTGGTTGTCAAGACAACCGGACTGTCTGGCAGACACCAGTTCCCATGCAGCCCTGATAGGGTATAAGAAATAGGAGCTGCTGTGATTCCGAACAAGTGCAGCTAAAAGTCAGTTAGCTTGTCCAATTAGCAGTACAATTAGCAGAACCGGCAGCGAGTGGAGGTGTACCCGAGCTGCTCAGCCCTACAAGTGAGCAGGGAAACCTTACAACTCTTCCAAATACCACGTCATAGCTTCCGATAGGGTGTCAGAGCATGCCAAAATGTCAGCCTCATCAACACAACTCACAAGCTCTAGGGAAAAAGCCAAGCAGTCAGAGCTGTAAACTAAGGCTGACATAGCTAATAACTCAAGATAGTTTAGATATGTCTGGTTATGGAGTGGCGTGCTCTGTGGTTTTGGCAACGATTTAAATGCCCGTCGCGCTGCTTGATCATACCTACAGAGATTATCTAATGTCTAATTTATTAATATCTATATCTGCGAGATCTTGACAGTCAACAGCTCACAGTGATGAAACATGATCCAATTGAGATTTCAGCTCAGCTTTCTAAACTGGTCAAATCGAATGTAATTATCGAGTATGGAACGTTTATAATATAGCCTGACTGCTCGCACTACTAAACGAAATTTGCCCACCGACGTAAAGTAAGTCTATTTTCCGGAGTACTGACATTAAATCACATTATAAATAGCGACATTCCAATTCGAATTGCTAAGGGGCTGCGTTTTTACGGAAAATTACGTAACAAGGTTTAACTCATTCCCACGCAGGGAGAAAGTAAGGCCAGATAAGAGGAAGAAGCAGGGGGACAAGCGTCTCTCGTGCTTGTACTCGTGATCAGCAATGCTAGTGGCTGAGGTATTAGTACCAATAAATTATTATGTGCCGGAAGAACACATATAACGTGTACATAATACACGGTACAATACACCGGTGATGTCTGAGAGAGAGTCTGAGAGAGTCTGAGAGAGAGGTGTAAACAGTACCTTCCAGTCAGCCGTCACGTGACCTATTTGGTAAACAACCTGACCGGACAGGTCTGGTACCGGTCACGAGCTGTGGTGAGAGTGAGGCTGACTGTTTAACACTACACTGGTTTTTCATTAATGTGGGGGGTGAAGAGAGGAAATAACGATAACATTGAGGGAAGCAGGGTATCAAACAAACGGGGAAAATACGGTAATGCAAAACCCAGCCCCATCAAAAAAGGGCGAATAGTAATAAACATAATTTGCTCTAGTACACAAATTACGTGAATTAATGTTTCAATATTACGTTTAGCGTAGGAATTTTGTCGTCTAAAACTCAGCGCATCTGTGAAACTACTGCCAGTTTAATATTATAATCTCTGTGCAGTAATCTGGGAGGCTCTCATAAAATGAACTTGCTATAAAGTCGGGCCAACCTTGTAATTAAGAAGGTGTGATAGAAGAGGTTCGTTAGTCAGGGCGAGCTGTGACAGCGGTACATTGGCAAACACACTAATTAGAAGAAGCCTGCACATTTAAAGAACACACCCTAATTAGGACTAAGTGTGAACTGTGCATCAGCACCAAGAACACACTAAATCGCTGGGATAAAATCTGTTGATATTAAAATTTTGTATAATCGAGATAAGATGTCCGCAATTTCCAACATGTCTGCTCAATGTGTAACTTGAGTCGAAAGAGGGAGAGAGAGAGAGAAAGATTGAAGAGAAACAAACCGGAACATTTATCATGTGAACCTCGTGAGATGGAGCAACTTTTAGCTTCCACCATCTAAATTATAATGCAATTTGATTTGAGAGAAAACATCACACAGGTCTGAGTGTAGACTGAGTGTTTGTATAATCTGATTAGATGTGGCTACAGGTTAACTTCAAACACAGACCGTCGCGATTAATTGGGACATTGACCACGTTAATCGATTGATAAGTTTTATAACAAATAAATAAACTCAATTACTGGGTTACCTTACTCCATTAATGGACTTGATAACAAAGTTGTAAGTTCTGAGAAAATTCCTCGATCTGTAAGCAACATTAAACTTGACAGTTGTAAAAGGTGCGAATGTCCCAGAATGTTGACTTAAAGCATCGTAATAACTTTAAGCATAATTTTACGCATAATGTGAAGGATAATAACATATTATATTATGTAATGCATATTAATATATTATCATAATACTAGTAGAATTTTAAAACATTTCACATTAGGGTAATCCTGCATTTTAGCTGTTTTGCAGGTATCCAGGGAAAACTCTCCAGGGAAAACTCAAAACTTTTAAGTAATACGACTACATAATGCTTTAAAGTAAGGATTGAGTTTTTACTTCGGTAAGCTGTGCAGGTAACATTAAACCCATTGACATGCCAACTACATATAACATATATTCAGTATGAGGCGGTACCTACTTTACAAAAGACAAGTTAATGGACTCGCAAACTCTGTGTCACTTTGCGACAGGCATTTCTCATACTTGGTAGCATTTCTGACAACAAGTTCTAATTTTTGGGGCTGCTTTTTGGTAATTCAGATGTCATTCAACGTGATCTAAGGGTCCAACCCTAATTAGCTAAAACTGGAAAATTACGACGGCAATGTCAACTTTGTATGTGCTAACTGCTACAAGTTTCGCCTCGTTACTAAATCATGATTGAACTAACGAGCAATTTCGAAAAAAGTTGACATACTACCACAATGGCCGGACAGAGTTTCATGTGACACGTAGTTTTAAAAAGCGCTTACTCTACAGCACTTCCAATACGATCGTTAAGCGCAGAGCAGTCCTGTTCTTGCTGTAATTGTTATTTCGGTAGATCAGTTGCCAGAATCCTTATTTGATACATGGACTCTAAATTCGGGCGCTCATATCATCCCCCTATGACACCATGAAGCAAAGTAGCACTGTAGCGGCAATTAATATGATGACGTTCATTCTCAGGCTACATTTGACATCTTACAAATTGGAAGCCCTGAAACGTCGCAATGAGAACGTAATTTTTGACAGCATGCGTCCATTATTCTGGTGCGCGCGTTTACGCGCCGAGCTACTGCCTGCATGACCAAACTAATTTAGACGCTTCTGATATGATGCGCGCTACGTTTATAGTTCAACCAAACATTCGTTTTGTGACGGAATGTGCGCACGAAACTTTCGTGAAATTATCACGTTCTAATAAACACAACAGTCATTGACATGATAGGAACAAAAACTCTTACACGGAAATTTTAAATTATTGTAACACATTGTTAGCGGTAAGCATTTCATGAGGAACTGAACCGCGCTTTAAGTTGTGCCAATTTTACTTTACTTGATTAATGGTTGATAACAATGGTGATAATATGAAGTACAACTATAAAGCAGATTTGTTCATTGAATTATAATCGAGATAAAGTTACAATTATCCTGGAAATCATTCGATAGAGGCTATTTGGGGGAAATACCAGAGTAAGATTAATTACAGCAATAGTCTCCCAGTGAAATAAATAGGAAATAACATTACCCCTCCCAAATCAGCACATTTCAACCGCTACAGTTGAGAAAACACCGCTGATCGCAACAGTCAGAACACTTTAGATGTCATTAACTCCGATTTGTAAACCGTCGACACCGATACCGCCTGTCTTAATATAACACAGGGAAGTAACATTGTTAATATTAGTGAGCGTGTAACTACTCACAAAGGAAGATCGCCAGTCAACTCTTATAACAACAGGTGCCGCCTCTGCATTATGTTACCTATCGATTAGAAGAAAATCTCGACGATACCGATTACAGTATTCAGGGTAAGGAGCACATTTAAGGAGCACATTTAAGGAGCACATTTAAGGAGCACATGTGATATATAAGTGTTCACGGTATCACCATCCTAATATATGTAAGCTGTCACATAATTAAGTATCCCGGCCTGTAACTTGAGTTATAATTCCAACAGATAACCCTGCATTCCTGAGCTTCTTCTCTTCTCCTAAACGATAGTCCAAATTACATCATATCATCTTATCCCTCACTCAGCCAATATAACTGTATGGTGTACAGGTTATTTTAGAAGCAATATTATTGTGAACCTGAACTTCAATCTCATGATTAAGGTGCGGTATGTTTCACGTACAGTTGTTAGGAAGTAAAATTGTTGGTGGGAATGTAGGATTTAATCAAATTTTGTTACATCACTGGGATTCTTGCCAAAATTGGCTAAAATTCGGATTTAAGACCCTTATAATTAGGATTTTTTTGGAAAATGTTTGTCCCATTTCTAAATTTCGGTTAAAATCTTTTCCCACATCAGATACCAGTTTAAACATCAGATACGAGTTTAAACTAAAGTCATTAGTCTCATTTTACACGGCGAGGGTAACCAACCAGATAAAATGGGCTGATTCACGGCAGTCTATGTACAGAAACACGTCATAAAATTACCACTAACACCCGTGAACCACGGCGCACGCGAGAAAAGATAAATAATTTGAGAAGCTTGTAAAAATGAAGATAAAACTCACCATTCTGATTCGTGGTCATGTCGGCTGGGTAGCTGCCATTCATCCCTATACGCATTGTGCAGAGGTTAAAACAAACAACTTATCATGAACAACAACTTTACAAGAAGAACAAAAACAAAATACTCTAACTGCAATATGATAATAATTGTGATTTACTTAGTCTGAGAAAATAAGATAATTATTGGTAACCCAATACTGTGTTTATATTTCAACACGTCCTTCTGCTAATTTGTGCCTTAATAGAGAAAAACACACACACGCATACATACGCTGAGAAAATAGCCAGTCCCACAAATAGTAACACTTTCATGTACATTGTACAAAATTTTTAAAACAATACAATTTACTTTCGTAAATCAGAAATTTTAAAGCGATAAATAAAAGATTGAGCGCTAGAAAAGCAAGGATAGATTCACTTCTTAACAATTTGCAGGACATCATCGTGTTGCATTTTGTGAGTTAGTCCGACTCGTTGTGGGCTAAACTTAACACTCGTACCCCACACCATCCCGTACTTGGTGTCATCGGCCATAGTCCTATGAATGGAATGGCAAACATCCTCGACTGTCGAGTTCTTTCTCATTATAATACCCTCCGAGAAATCCGGCCCAAACCCCCTCTTTTTGGTGTACACCTGGATCAGTTCCAAATACTCCCATATCTTCTCAATCAGGAACTCCAAGTTGAGCCCAGCATTACAACTGATAACCACGTGGTGCTCCTGACGAGCTATTCTGTCTACTTCTTCTAGAGATACTATGTCTATCTTATTGTACACATAAAGGCAGTTTAGGTACACTCGGTTACCATCAATCACGTCGATCAGCTCGTCCAGCGTGACATCCTCACGAATCAGCAGTTCGCAGTTGAACAGCTTGTACTCGTTCAGGACACACATGACAGTTTTCTCATTTATCTTGGTTAGCTGCACGACGGTTGTAAACTTGACTCCACCTGTTGTCTTCTTTTTGAAGTAAATATTAGGCCTCCTTTTGTTCAGTCTTATACCAACACTCTCCAGCTCGTAGGTCAGGAGTTCCCGCTGCTTGTCCCCTTTAGTTGCGTCCAACATCATCACAACCAGATCCGAGGTCCGGGCTACAGCAATAACTTGCCGACCTCTACCCTTACCCTGCGCGGCTCCCTCAATGATACCCGGCAGATCCAGCAGCTGTATCCTGGCTCCCTGGTATTCTATCACACCAGGAATACAGGTCAGTGTGGTGAACTCGTAGCTGGCACATTCACTCTCTGTCTTAGTGATTGTACTTAACAAGGTAGACTTACCGACGGAAGGGAATCCTATGAGAGCAACTCTCGCATCACCTGACTTCATCACTTCGAACCCATCACCTTTAGCCCCAGCTTTACCCGTCGGTTCTAAAAGTTGGGCTCGATATTTGGCCAGTTTAGCTTTAAGAGTCCCCAAATGGTATTCGGTTGCTTTGTTCTTCTGAGTTCGAGCCATTTCAGCCTCTATTTCTGATATTTTCTCAAGGATCCCCATCTTTGCACCTTGTTTATCACCTATAATCGGATGTTGGAATATTTAGTGGGATATCTAATATACTCTACTTTACAGTAAATTGTTTTCACAGATTTATTAAATCCTCAAGTAAATATTTAGTCAATATACAATGATATAGGTTTGCTAACAACGTAGACAACTGAAACAAGAAGTAATTATTCAAATCCTAAGCTATGCTGGGGCATTACGAAACCCATTCGACCCGGATTGCATAACGAGTTGTAAAATACATCAATAATAATTGTAAAATGAAATTTAACTACAACTATTATGCAACTTTTTAGCATGATCGTGTAACTCTAAGTACTATAAAACTCAATTAAAAAAATTACAGATGAGAAAATATAAAGATTACAACTGTAATAATAAAATTTCTGAAGATAACAAAAAGCTAAAGTCGAACTGTATTTATAAAATTACAAGAAATAAAGAATACTTATATACAGTCAAACCTCTCTATACCGGCTCCTCGGGGGTAACGAAACGTGCACGGTATAGAAAAACCCGGTATACTGTTATAGAGAGGTTCCCAATTCCTAGTATCTGAAGCCCCTCAAATAACCGGTCAAGCGTCTCATATACTCCACTGGCCACCATTGTGTCGAATACTCAAATTATCACCAAATGCGATGTGCGCAATGAAACATCATGTGATGTGCATAACTTTCGCAAAAACCCGGGCTAATTTACCAAAAATTAGGGGGAAGAGAAGAGGCCGGTATAGAGAGGTTTTACTGTAATAGATATGATAATCGATATATCAGATGGAATTATTATAAAAGGTTAAGCTCAAGAGTCAATGGTGAACGTTAGGCTGAAGGGAAGCTCTAGCTGAACTGGAAAAAGTGAAAGGGAATATGGAATAAAAAACCTGTTGACCAAATTCTAAACGTTCTATCTTTCTGCCAAAGACATAGCATAACAAGATCAAACTTATTTCTATTTGATGTATCTGTGGTAAATTCGATGAGCTTAAATAAATTTCGGAAGTAAGTTCGAAATGAATAATCATTGAAGTGTTCAGGCATTCGAGTCTCGACAGACTAAGTGTTCAAACAAGGCAAATGACTGGTGAAAACTAAATGAAATATTCGAAGTTGCGGCATTTATTGGCCTTCTACTAAGATTACTGATTATAAAATAACTACCCGAATAATTACCTTCTGATGTGGTTAGCGCATAATTCTGTTAGAACTTAATATTTTAACCTCTTGTTTTAGTAATTTTTTTAGAGCAGCATATAATTTTAAACTTCCGTGTATGTTTAGCCAAGTTGGGGTCCACCTAGTACTTACTTTTCTTAGTTCCTATAATTGAGCTTGCCTAGTTAAGTGAGACCCTTCAAGTAATTTATAATAAGTAATCTTAGTAAAAATGCTTATTTTATTAGTAAAAGGCCAATGAGTGCCGCAACGACGATTATTTCATTTAGTTTTAACCAGTCGAGAACCATGTTGCTCACAACTGAATACTACAATGTTAAAAACTCGCTCGGCCTTACGATATCTACGAAATGCTTGCCTTGCAAGATTATATTTTGTTTTGCTGGACTTCTATGTTCTACTTTCATGTTCTATAACAAGAAATCATTAGAGTAAGATCATTGAAAACAGTTATACAAAATATAAGTTTCAGATAAACTAAATATGCATAATATTATAATACATTTTTATTATTACAATTTTTATTTGGTTAGTTATAGTAATCATCCCGAGAAAAACTAAAATCTTCATAGCAACAGCGTGCGGCTAATGATAGATCGTCCGACGATCCAAACGAAGCTCTAGTAACCGAAAACGTATTATAATCAATAAAATATTTTCTTTGAATTATAAATAGTTGGTTAGTTTTCAACCCGGAAAGTACCAAAAAAAGCTTTTGAAAAATAACATGCAGCTAATAAATTATATCCCTATTATAACTGTTCAATTTGGTTAATTATCATACCGAAACAAACCGAAAACATTTAAAAATAGCATGCAGCTAATAAATGATCGCCTGATCGCAATCGTTCAATCAATTATCAAATCATGTGTTCTGTAATGAACCAAGAGATCAGACTTATCACCAGCAGCAAAGGAACAGTCAGTGCATTTGTGAGGCTTCTCGCTAGAATGATTCTTTCTCAGGTGACTTTTAAGATTTGCTTTCTGAGTAGCAGCATAGGTGCAGTGGAAATAAGAACACTTGAACGGTTTCTCATTCGAATGTATACGTTGATGAATCAAAAAGGCAGAGTTTGTCAAAGCAGCGAATGGACAATCATCACACTTAAACGGTAATTCCTCGATATAATGACGGCTTTTCCTGTGATTTGTAAGACTTGCTTTCGCTGTGGCAGAATAGTCACAACCCGAAAAGGCACATTTAAAGGGCTTCTCATCCGAATGCGTTCTCTGGTGAGCTGTTAGGTTTGAATTTTCAGCAGCAGCATAGAAACAGTTCTCAAAAGGGCACTTGTACGGTTTTTCTCCAGAATGAGATCGCTGATGAATTAAAAAAGCTGAATTGGTGAGAGTAGCATACGAACAGTCAGAGCATTTAAACGGTAAATCACCAATATCATGACGCATCTTTGTATGAACTTGAAGACTTGATTTCTGAGAAGCGGAGTAGGAACAATATGAACAAGCAAAGGGCTTGCGACCACTGATATGTTTTCTCTGATGTCTGAGGAGATCATAATTCCTATGACAAGCATAAGAACAATCAGAACATTTAAACGGTTTTTCATCAGAATGTATTTTTATATGTTTTCTAAGATCCGATTTCAAACGACCAGCATAAGAACAATCACAACATCCGTATGGTCTTTCCATTTGCATTGGTTGTTTACTCTGAGAATCTGAGGGTTGATCAGCCTTTCCCGCTGTACTTTCGGACGATGTTGTGATTAGTTCTTCTGTAAACTGTGACAATTCTCTACCAACAGGATTATAAGCTATCTCATCAGTTGTACTTGTTTGTGGGGATTCTTGATACATCGTATCACAGTGATGTTCCCTGACGTGCTTTACAAAATACTCTTCACAAGGGAAACTGGCAGAACATTCAGGACAGAGAAATTCTCCGGTTTTGTCTTGAACCTCATTTACCTCAGTCTCCTCCTCTGTTTTGATATGAGAACAGTCATTATCATTCGTCTCATTGGTTGTCTTTCCCATACTGTTCAGTGTTCAAGTCAAGTTTCACAGGCAGATCAGATCTTCTTCATTCTTGTAACAAACACTAAAAACTGAGAGATTAACTGTCAACATGTAAATTATGTAATAATGTGATTAGAAAGAATGAATATTGTGAAGATTAGCTTGTAAGGGGTTGAGAAGGAAGAATCACGCATCCTCACTAAATCAATAGCAATATTAGGCAACTTACACTGAAAAGTCAGGGCGATCTGAAATTAAGCATCTACTTGGGAATCGTTCACATATTACGTGAATAAGGGAGGGGGGGAGTGGGCTTGGAAATGCTGATGTTTGCTGGACCTTGCTGACATCAATACATGCTTTAATAAATTCTTCCAATTTTCTGACCCAATCAAGTGGAGCTGATATACACCTCTTGCAATACCTGACATCCCCACATTAGCACTCAAACCCCCAATCTGAGCTGACGTAATTTGGAGGGGGCCGGGGGGTCGCTTAATGCTGACGGAGGGTGCAAAAATGGCCAAAAACTTGCTGACGTAATATGTGAACGCTCCCTTTTAATTCATATTAACATTATATATTGTAAATTTTCAAACTTAAAAAGCATTAAACTTGAAAAGCATTAAAGGTTAGACTATGTAGCAGTGTGCAGTCTAGAACTGTGTAATTTGTTGCCAAATCGTCAGTCAGAGAATTGTTTTTAACACATTGCCGAATCATGGTTTTGCCTATTTGCAAAATTCAGAAGATTTTATTATAATCCTAGTTTTGGTTAAGGTAATTTTATAGTGATTTACGTGGGCAAACAATTTTAGCTAGGCACACTTGGGACACAAAATTGAAATTTCTTGGCAAATTTTTCAACATAAAATGACAATGCAATGGTGAAAATCTACAGAATTATCTAAAATTTGAATGAAAACCATGCAATCTTTTTGATATTATTTGGTAATTCACAAAAATTTCCAACCTAAAATTGAAGGCAATAATTATTAATTAATCTAAATTTTTGTATCTAAATATTGTTCTGTTCAGTAGGAAGCATCGCAGCTCTCAACCGACAAAGTGAAACACAGCAAATGACTGGTGAAAACTAAATGAAATAATCGATGTTTCGGCACTCATTGGCTTTTTACTAAGATAAGCATCTTTACTAAGATTACTGATTATAAATTACAAGGGTCTTGTAAGGCGAGCCCAATTATTGGAACTAAGAAAAGTAAGTAAGGTGGACCCCAAATTGGCTAAACATACACAGTAGTTTAAAATTATATGCTGCTCTAAAAATATTATATGCTGCTCTAAAAATATTACATCCAAACAAGAGATTAAAATATTAAGTTCCAACAGACTTATGCGCCAACCTTAATCAGTATATCCATTTCCGTGCATGTTTAGCCAAGTTACGGTCCAGTGTCCACCTTACTTACTTGTCTTAGTTCCTATAATTGGGCTCGCTTACTTAAATACCTATTATCTTAGTGAAATGCCAATGAGTACCGAAACGTCGATTATTTCATTTAGTTTTCACCAGTCATTTGCCTTGTTTCACTTTGTCTGCCGAGAGCCGTGATATAATAATAATAATAAATACAACTTTTATAAACCGCCTTATAGCTAAATCATATAACTCGATATAATTTAATCCTGGAGATAAACTCCAGTGCTTTCTAAAGCGGCTCTTACATTAACTGAGCTTAGTTTAATTGAAAATTAGACATGACAAGTTCATTTTACCTATGTAAATGCAAAATCAATCAAATGCTAGAGAAAAGAAGTATGTTTTAAGTTTGGTCTTGAAAGATGTAACTGACTCAGCTGATCTTATGTCGTATGGCAGGGAATTAAATACTTTAACTGCACAGTGACTAAAAGCTTTCTCTGTGTTTACATAGTTAGGAGAGGGCGGAAAACTAAGGTAAAAATAATCATTATCAAGACGTACATTTTTAAAACTTTGCTGCCTAGGAGATATCAACTCTTTTAAGTAAGGAGGAGCTATATTATTTAAACACTTGTAGGCAAGTAGGGCAATCTTAAAATCTATTCTAAATCTAACTGGTAGAAAATGAACTTTCTTAAGTAGTGGAGTAGTGTGTGCCTTTCTTCCTCTCCCGAAAATAAATCTTACAGCAGAATTTTGCACCTTCTGTAAACGACTTAAATCATAAGAGCTCAGTCCAAAATAGTGAGCTCAGTCCAAAATAGTGATGCTCCCTACTGAATACGATTATAAGTAATCACGCTCAGCTTTACAAGATCTATGGATCTAAATATATCAAATCCGTCAAATACACAAGAAAAATACACAATAAAATACACAATCAGTCATTTTAAACAAATCCCACTGCTTAAAACCGAAAAAACTTTAATTAACATAATATACTTATCATTTAAATTATGTAAAATGTAAAAGAAGATACTGAGCTTGGAGGTCACTAAAACACAGATAACAAGCACAAAAGAGCTCATGGGCAAGCATACAGTGGTTTCTAAAATAATTATCTTGAACCATGATTTTTTATGCCGTGAAAAGTCATCGAATTCTAACATCTATATACCGCATATTATGGTCAAAAATATTATGGTCAAAATCACCAAAACAATAAAAAACAGCCAAAACTAAGAATACAAAGGTAAGGTACACATTAATGATCGCAAAATAAACATCATAGAGTATTCGTCACATCAAATACTTTCTGTTGTGTAGAAGAAAACAGCTTAGAGGATGATTGAAGGTGTTCCAAATGTTAGGAGCTTTGTTGGAACCTTAAAATAGTTTATTTAAGGTTAAATAGTTTCATTTAAGGTTTAACATATCACAGCCGAGCCTTTTTGTTTTCAGAAGTACTATAATCGTTTGTAAGGTATTTCTTGAACCTTATTAAAGCCAAGGTAAGATTCATCATACGAATAGTAAACATAAAGGCTGTTCTTATTCGTGATAACAACTAATACTTCCTGACGGAAATACTCTTGACTAACAGCAGTAAGATTGGAATACTGCAACAGAGTGATTTTTCCTTTAAACGCAGCAATGAAGCTGTTTTCATTCTCATCAACTCCAAAGGTTCTTTCAGGAAACATAGACTTTAGAGTTTGAACCAGACCATTGTCGACATGATAACAACTTTTAAACTTAGTTCCATCTTTGGGCCGAGAATGTTCTTTTACTTGAAATCGGTTCAAAACGTCCTTGACATTAAATTCATTAGGTTGGTTTGCGATAAATTCGAGGACATTCAAATAATCAACAGGGCAATTTGTGTCAATATCAATCGAAACTGCTCCACACCTCACAATCTTATCACCTGACACCTTTTCAAGTAAAACATGTCCTGAGCGATATTTCAAAAGCAGTATTTGAGTTCCATGACCTCCGTAACCCCCAGTAAAGAACCCAGGCTCAACAAGTTCATTATCACAGGATGCGAGAGGCACATTTATCTTACTAAATGTAATGCCACCATTGTTAAAACTATCGAATATGGCGTTTGTTATGTCAAAACTATCTGAACGCACTGCTTCCCTAAAATCTGTTATCATTTGTGCTTTATCATGATCCTCCCCTGAATCACCTTTCAAACAGCAAATTTTGATTTCCTTTGCAAATTCAATGTTACGTTCAATTGTAAGATAATGCTCCGTTTTTGAGTATAAAGTACATCTGATTCTGTCTTCAGTAAAGTAATTGTGATTTCCATATAACATATCACTATCATTCTCGCTTATGTTATTTCAAACATGGGCACAAGATTCATCTCCAATTCTACACCTAGAACATCATAGCCAACAACCTGACATGGAGACATTAGCACTTTGACAAAGAGCATTCCACCATATGCAGAGATGTTTCTTTTCCATGAGCCAATTAGCCAGCCCCACTTGTCTATAACATTGATGTACAGTGACTTCAAGGACTTCCAGCTCATAGAACTAAGAGATTCCAGCGTAAAGTCATAAAATGAAGGTTCAGATATTTTATACTGTTTCATGATATTAAACCATGTTGTATGACAGTCACATAGCTCGTTGAGTTGGCGGTTAACTGTGGATAGTTTGAGAATATCTTTGCCATCTAAGAAAAGTATGATCTTTGAAACAAGTTCATTTGGAAGATTATGAAATTCCATTCATCAAGATGTTGAAGTTTTTTAGCTCAGTAAACGGTATGATCGTTATTCCATTCCTAGATTCTGTAATAGATGTAATATTATAGTATATTACATCATCAGTTTTAAACTAATTACAACACTACAAATCTATTACATTTATTGAGTATTATAAATCAAGAGGCTTGCATATAATGAACATATTGACATGGGTGCAGAGTTGAGTCTGTACGGAACCTAGTAGTGTCAGTTCCTTGTTTAACTTACCGTACAGCAAGGACATCCACTACTTTAGCCCGGCGAGGCACATAGCTCACTCTACAACTCCGTGTCAAATGTTTCATATATACTAACCAAGTTCACAAGATATATCCTTGTGTCTGAGAAGCGCTCGTTAGAACTGCTTCCTTTCCCTTCAGTATCCCACAGTCTCTCGAGTTTCGTAACTGCCAGAGAGCTCTCTTAAACAATTACTAGACCCGGTGATTATAAATCAAGAGGCTTGCATATAATGAACATATTGACATGGGTGCAGAGTTGAGTCTGTACGGAACCTAGTAGTTTCATTTCCTTGTTTAACTTGCCGTACAGCAAGGACATCCACTACTTTAGCTCGGCGAGGCACATAGCTCACTCTACAACTCCGTGTCAAATGTTTCATATATACTAGCCAAGTTCACAAGATATATCCTTGTGTTTGAGAAGCGCTCGTTAGAACTGCTTCCTTTCCCTTCAGTATCCCTTATGTAACGCGATGGAAATATTTTAAGCAGGTAATAAATATATGAATGTATTATAATATAATAATAATATAGAAAAAATCGAGACTGTCATAAAACTGAGGATAAAGAAAGCCATTCCTGTGCTGACTGAACACAAAATAGCTCTCAGTGGCACAGGACAGACTTGTCAGTAAATAGTATATATATATATGTATTTAACAAATTAATACAATATTGTTTTAACTTAC